GGCGCCGAGCGCTGGTCCTACCGCGGCGCCTTTGCCCCCGCGGCTCCCGCGCACCGGCTGGGGAGGGCGCAGGCGCTGCGGTGAGGCCGCTGCGGGCGGGCGTGGGGCGCTGCGAACGCCCTGCCTCTCCCTGCTCAGCGCCCTACGCCGGGGGAGACACCCAGACACATCGGATGACGGACAGACGGCGGCGGGGGGATGCGCGCGCCCCCGCACGCAGAGATGCGGATTGGAGCGGCCCGAGCGGGTGGGGAGGGGGGTACGTGACAGAAACCATCGGCCGCAGCTACGGTCTCCTGCGTGACCTTGGGCAAGTGACTGCCTTCTCTGGGCCTCCCTTTCACTAGTTGGGTGAGGACAGACGCAGGCAGAATGCTCCTGAAGACTAATTTTCATGTATGCGGCTCCAGCACCCGACTACATCTTCTTTGCTGATGACCTTAAGTTTGGTTTTTTTGTTTTTCCCTGGGTAACCTCTTTACCTTACGTTACTTTACTCGGGTGTAAGGAATTCACGGAGGCCAAACAGAAAACAGCCAGCACGGAGCTGCCACACAGTAGGAACTCATCTAACGCGTGTTACTATTGACTGTTGCTTGCTCACTCAGCCATCAGCCAATCGTCCACTAGTCTATTAGTACTTCTCCAGTACCTTAAAATGATCCTGGGCCACATCTCCTTTTCTCAGCCTAGAGAGGCCGGTGTTGGTCTTCCCATTTCACAGATGAGGAAACTAAAAAGGACAGGGAAGTTAGTTCCACACTCAAGGCCATACAATGTATGACATCAACAACAGAGTCGGGCTTCACAGACGTCCCATAGACAGAGTGGCCCTCAGCACGACTCCTTTTCTTGGGATGAAAGTGCAATGGGGAGGTCTTGGGGGAGGAGAAGGGACAGGCAAGTGTCACCCTGTTGTGGTGGCTTGTGATGGAATGATAAACCAAGTTCCTGTCTACCAGCACCAAGACCTCAGGGCCACACATTTTATCTGTGACAAGGGCCACCAACCAGCAGGTATCTGGCTGAGCTCTCCGGGTACCTGGGCATCTTGTGAGCTTTCTACTAGGATGGGAAATCGGCAGCTGGAGTAGCTGAGCAATCAGTGCACTGGTTTGCTGGGATGAGCCACTGTGGAAACCAGACAGGGCAAATCCGTGCCCTCTAAAGGTGCCCGCTTCAGACATTCACCATGCACATGCTTGCTGTCTTCAGGAGATGGCAGGAGAAGGTCTGCTCTGACCTCTGGGGTTTGAGCAGGAGAGGGCTCCAGAGTTCCTGAGCTGGGTGGAGGTCCTCCCCATCCTCTCAGCTACTCCTACCGGGAGTCTAGCCAGTCAAGGCTTCCCTGACTTAGGAGGAAGGAGCTTCCCCCAGCTGCTTCTGCCCCTAGGAGCCCCAGGAGGCCCAAGATGGGCAAAGGGCATTTCCTGAGCCCTGATGTATTATGATGGATGCTCGTGTCCAGCATTCGACTATTCATTCTTCCCAACAGCCCCAGAAGGCAAGTAAGTGTAGATCAAATTTTATGCACAAGGAAACTTTCTCAGAAGAAGGATGCCATGTGCCCAAGAGCTCGGAGAATCTCCTGGCTTTGGGAATAAGCCTGGAGGGCCCATGGCCCTGCCTGGGGAGGAGCAGAGGCCTGGGTCTCAGGAAGGAGGCTCATGCAGGTCTCCCTCCCTCCTCCTACTCTGCCTTTGACACTGGAAACTGTCAGGCCTTTGGAAGGTCCAGAGGACCTTGGGAACAGGGCCTAGGGTGAGGCAGCTGACTCTGGACCCCAGGAGATTGACCCCTGCAGAGCAGCACCTGGTTGAGGGTTGGGGGCAAGACTGAAACTTAGCCTTCCTTAAGCAAGCACGATGACCACTGAGCTTTGGTGACAGTCACTGAGGGTATGGTCTGCAGGTGGGCTGAGTCCATACTTTCCAGATGGGGAAACTGAGGCCCAGGGAGGGAAGGACTTGCAAAAACTGCTCAGTTAGGGTGGGGCAGAGCTACATCTGGAATATCGGATGTGAGCCCACCCAGGCTACACTATTCTGATCACCTCTCGGCCACCAACTCCCTGTTGCCAGCCTTGGGTGGGGGAAAAAGCAAAACACTAAGATTCCTGGCAAATGTTGCCATTCTAAGTCATTCTAAGCTCTGAAGCCCCAACTTAACAATCGCACAAGATCCGAGGGTTAGGTGACTAGATATGCTTGACTATTCCCTGTTGGATGCTGGCACTCCTTAAGTCCCCTCCCTCCCCCCTTTCCTTCCCTGCCCCTTCCTTTCCCTGTCTCCAGGTCTCACCACAAGCCAGAAGTGTAATGGAGATGTGTGCTGATTTAAGGAGAGTGTTAGATGGAAATGTACTTCCTTTATGATATAGGGAGGTATTTTTAAATGCATATAAATAAACATTTTTAATTTGCTTCAACGTTCGGATTCTGTCACCGTCGAGCATGTGTTTTGTTACAGGAGGAGTGTGGTGTCTGTGAAAAGCGAGGCTCCAGACGGCCAGTCCATCTGGTTCAGGGAGGAGGATGCCCTTCTAGAACAGCCCAGCAGGCCGGGACTGCCCTCCAGGGCCACTCTGGTGGGCTGCCAGTCTGTGTGTCTCCCCATCCCGGAGCCAGACCTCCTCCGAGTTTCTGCTGGAGCCCACCTCTCCAGAGGCACTGAGCTTCCAACCTGGAGTCTCTCTCTAGAATGTTCTGGGGGGAGGAGGGGCTGATAGCTCACACCACACTTTTGGCAATTGATAGTGGCTTAGTTCTTCCACAGGACGGGGGTTCTCAGCGAGGAGCTAGGGTCCTATGGACCCAAGGAAACTATATACAAAACAGTGCTGCTGTGTTCTGTTCTCATTTGCTAGTGCTCCTGACCAAGTTTTGTGCCTTAGAGGGCCAGCCCAAGCCAGGCCTATTGGACCCTAGATCCCCAGCAGCAGCTCGGACCTGTCACCCAGCAGAAGGACATGTACAGCTGCCCTCTACAAAACACCTGCTGTTCCTAGAGGATAGCTGGGACACCTCCGTCTCTGGCATGGTTGCAGGGTCTCTTCCCTCAGTCACTGCTACACGCCTCAACCTCTCCCGGAACTCTCTCTCTTTTTTTTTTTTCCTGAATAGGGTGTCAGGCAGTCCAGCCTGGTAGCCAAGGATGACCTTGAATTTTTGATCTTCCTGCCTCCACCATTCAAGTGCTGGGATTACAGGCATGTGCCACCAGACCCAGTTTTTCACAGTCCTGGAGGCTGAACCCAGGGCTTTGAACATGTCTACCATCAAAGCCATATTCCCAGCCCTCCAATGGGATGCTTTTAGGTGACAGGAAGATGCTTGTAAACATATACAGGCGCCTCTTCCTCATGGAGTTCAAATGCCCATGGACAGGTGCTCAGTGCCCAACCTCTTGGGCTCCCATGTGAGTGATTACTTGCAGCCCCACTGCCTGCTGGGTAGAGGTCTTCTAGAGTAGGACCTCGTCTCTTCATGCCAACTGACCTCAGGGCTATGGTAATTGGGACTGCAGCCAGGCATGCAAGTATCTCAAGTGGGGTGCAAAGCATGGGCTGGACCTATCCTCCTCGGTCCCAAGAATAGCTACTCTAGCTCCTTTTGACAGACCAGGGGACCCAGAGAGGCCAAACACCTCAGCTCCCAACTCTCACAACCTGGAGGCGGTCACATTGGAGCTCAGTGTATTACACTTGACTGTCACACTTCACTCCAAAACCTGATGCTCCCCTCAGTCAGGAAAAGCCAAGTTTCCAGTGTGTGTGTGTGTGTGTGTGTGTGTGTGTGTGTGTGTGTGATGGTCACAAGTGCTGGTGTCATTGTCCTGGGTTTGAAGCCTGAGGAACACCGGCAGAGCATTAGCTGATGCCTGTAATCCCAGCATTCCAGAGGCTGAGGTAAAATCACCATGCTTTCAAAGGCCAGGCTAGATTATATGGTGAGTTTCAGGCCAGCCTGGCCAGTGGAAGGACTCAGCAGGTAAAAGCATTTGCTGCATAAATTCCATTTACACCCAAAACAATTGGACCAGAGCAGGAAATGGAGGCCCAGAGAGGGGAAGTAGTTACCCTAGGGTCATGCGCATCAGAAGCCTCTCCCTACTCCATTCTTCTGGTACCACCTGGTTCCTGTGGCTCAGATGTCAACGGCTACAGAGAGGCCCTGCGATCTATCTCCCCAGTGGCTAGCAGGCGAGAAGAGGCTGGTGTGCTGGGCTGGGAACACCTGTGCACTCTTAGCCCAGGCCCAGGAGCAAAGGGCGGCAGGCTGAACACCCTTTTATGACCTAGCCACCTCCCAGAACAGTAAACAGAGGGGCAAGCAGCTGGCACCAGAGCCCTCTGGGCAGACAAGGTCCTGGGTAGCTGACTTCTGCCCACCTCTGGGAAGAAGGTGAGAACAGCCTTTCCTCCCAGAAGCTTGAAACACACTCTAAGTTCCCACTGTTCCTGTTCCTTCCCTTCTGGACCTGACCATCACATATAATTCTTAGTTCAAGCACCGCCTTCTCCAGGAAGCCTTCTAGGCCTCCTGATGAGCCCGGAGCCGGCTCTGCATTCCATCTCCACACACACTGGTGCCTGCCATGTCCAGAACGGAAGTTCTGACTGGCCCTTACCTTCTTATGTTAACCGTACTCTTCCCCCTGGGCCAGGCACTTCTGGGGGCAGGGTGGGGGAGGCTGCATGCTTCCCAGGCCCTGCCATGCCTGGTACATAGAGTGCAATCTGAATGATAATGCTGAAAGAGAAGGCCAAACTGAAAGCACCGGGAGGACGGGAAGACTGATGGGTAGAGTCTGGAGCCACTGCTCACACAGAATAGCATTCCTTCAGCCTCAGGCCTGCCTTGGCAGGGTCCTGTTTGATCGGCCACGTTTGAAAGGTGACTTTGTTGGAGGAATTACAGAATGGAAGGGAGACATACAATCATGAGGAAAGGATGATGGTGATTAAACTTTTTAAAAAATTCCTTTAATGCTATGTAGGATTTTTTTTTTTATAAACTGTTTAAAAAGGAAAAAACTTATTCCTGAACCTGCATCCAAGAGATTCCACTCTACTTAACCCCTGTCCAGCTGTGAGTTCCCCAGGGTCTGGGGGCTCCCTAGGTGTGATGGACTGCCTTGGGGAGGGGGGCATGGGCAGGTAGGTAATGGACTCTGAGTCTATCCTGAGAAGCTTCTCTTCCATCCACAGGCCTTCCTGTAGTACTAGGGAGGGGACAAGTTCTATCTCAAGAGCAGTGACCAACTGCCTAACCTTTACCTCAGGCCTGGTCCTGATGGCTTTGTGACCACCTCCGGGCTTGGGGGCTGGGGGGGACAGAGCATGGGAGCATGGGGTGCTAGGGCAGGTGGAGATGACGCCGCAGGAGGAGACAGGTGGGACTGACATCATCCTGACGCTTCACATCTGAGTCTAGACCCATGGGTACCGTCGTCGTCGTCGTCTCTCAACACTGACTCCTCTCCAGGGCCAGTCTGGTCCATGCAGCAGCCTCCCACCTCACTCTGGAGCCCCTGGAGGAGGAGGTGGAGCCTCAGCCTTGTCTTGACAGCTTTGTTGAGCGAGCCCTCTGGATCCTGAGATGTCTTCAAGTGACTGAGACCTCGTCGCTGTGGCTCCCCATCACCCCATGGCCTAGGACACAGGAGCTGGAAGAGGTCTTTGTCCAGCAGGCTCATCACGTGACCCAGCCAAGGGAGGCAGGGAGTTGGCAAGCGACTTGTCCTAGGTAGGCAATTTGTCCACAGTGACCCCCAAAGGTCAGCAGCAGGGCTGGAACTCAGAATCGGCTTCTTGGGCTCCCGCAAAGCCAGGGTGCCCAGCATTCCAGTCCCTAGATCCCTGGGCCCCAGGCTGGAAGGGTCTAGGGTAAAAACTCCTCTTTGACAGGCACTGGGGAGGGGGTACCCAGAAGGCCTGCACTGGTGGAGCATAGACTACCCAGGGGTGGCCCTGATGGTGTGGGGTTGTCATCCAAGGGCAGGGGCAGCTGTGAGGGGGGCAGCGGCGGCGGCTGCTGCTGCTGCTGCTGCTGCTGTTTCTTCTTGTTGACTTTGCGTTCCTTGGCTCGACGGTTCTGGAACCAGATTTTTACCTGTGGGATTGCACACACTTTATGCAGCAAGCTGGGTCCAGGGAGGTGGTCTTCACGGTCCACTTCCTGCTCCAGCCACCAGACCTCAGGGACTAAAACACATTCTCCCGGTGCCCTAGACACCTTTCTCTGTAACCTCCTTCTTCCCCTTTCCAAGGCGCCATTACTCCAGAGCCCCTGTGGCCTGTGACTACCCCTTAGCACTTGGGTCTGAATAGCACCTCCTGCCCCCTGTAGCCTGTGTGTGTGTGTGTGTGTGTGTGTGTGTGTGTGTGTGTGTGTGTACACACACGCGCATGCGCGCGCGCATGTAGCCATGTTGGGCTTGGTTGCCAGTGTGGCAGTGGTCCAGTGTGTGGTGCTGTGCCAGTCTTCAGGACACAGCCTCTCTGTCCACTTTTTGTGAGCCCTGTCTCTACATGGCATCCTGAAAGCCCAACTCTGGGCCCTGCTACTTGGGCCGAGGAGGAGGACCCACGTACCTGCCGCTCTGTGAGCCCCAAGTTAACAGCCAACTCTGACTTGCGCCGGATGGTGATGTAGCGGCTGTAGTGAAACTCCTTTTCCAGCTCCAGGCGCTGGTGGTCTGTGTAGACCACACGGTACTTGTCCTTGGTCCGAGTCTTACCTGAGGAGCAGGAGGGGCAAGAGGGGTGGTGAGTGGCCCGGAATGCCCAGAGAGGCCCAGGAGTCCCCTGGCAGGGAGCTGATCGCTGGGATGCGACTCGAGGCTAGCTACATCAGCTGTGAAAAGTGAGGCTTCTGGAGGTCCCCAGGCATTCCCTCAGAAGGCCTCAGTGCTGTGTGGTAACAAACTCCCCAGGTGGTTTTGACTCAAGGGTCCCCAGAGCGTGAGTCTGAACATCGCTGTCATGAAGGGGACCCCTGGCTGGTGAGAGTGGACTGGGGCTAAAAGGGGGTTGCCAGACACTCCTCCCTGATGCACAGGGAAGACAATAGTGGAAGAAAAACAGTACCTTGAGCTTGGGGGGCTCCCCAGTTCTACTGACTGCTAGCCCAAAGACTGAAAGGCCCAGGGCTGCTGGTGGACCCTAGGGTCTGCTGGGTACCCAGAAGGACATTCAGGACACCAGGCTCTGCTCTAGGGTTGCACCAGGAGCCAGGGGCTGATCTACCTGAGCTGTCCACAGTTCTTCCTATGTGCAGGCCCAGAGATGCAGTGACTCAGCTCATTCCACTAAACAAACCAAGTCCCTGCCTCAAGCTACACACTGGGGTGGGCAGAGAGAAAAAAAAAAAAAAATGAGAAGTCCGTGCTTGGATGCTCGGGGAAGGAGGCAGACAAAAAGAAAATAAAAATGGAAAGCACTGGCTTTGTTCACTGGCAATTATTTCGAGGAAAAGAAAGAAGACAGGGAGCCTAAGAATGAATGTGGCGGCAGTGGCGGGAAGGCGTGGGAATTTCAAACAGAGTGGTGCTGGCTGAGTAAGGGGGCCGTGGTATCGATAGTCCACGGGTTGGGTCACTTGAATCTAGCAATTCTAGACCAGTCTGGGTGACATAGTGGGACCCTGTTAAAAAAAAAGAAAAGAAGAGAAAAAGTCAAACATTCAACACAATGGCTCTGGAACCTTAACTGAGAGAGAAAGAGCTTTCTAGAGAAACAGAATCTGGCGGAGTGAACACGGAGTGCAAAGGCCTCGAGGTGGAGACATGTCTGAGGCTGAGTGAGGGAGCTGGTGGGACAAGGAACAGAAAGGGGACCGGGCAGATGTCAGGGAAAGGGCTTAGGTTTCACTGTCTGGAATGGGAGCCACAGCAAGGCTCTAAGCAGAGGGGACATGTGGTCTGTTGCAGGCTTCCATGTTTTTCTGACGGCGGTGTGGAGAGCAGACTAAGGGCAGGAATAAGAGGGGGCAGGAAGGGACTGCCATGTCCCAGGACAAGAGGGCGGTGACTTGGCTTCTAGGTGGTGACGCCTGGGCCAGGAACTGGGCTGAAAGACCGTCTGAGGTTATTAACATCAGGGCTGTCTGGGGAGAACGTTACTCTGTGGGGCCTGGATGAGCACCAGCTTTCTCTGTAAGAAGCTGAACACATGGGTAAACTAGAAGGTGCATGCTGACAGCAGACATGCACACACCAGGGCATGACCAATCCTGGGATAACCCTGGATCTCCCCTGCCGCCCACGTGCCCACAAACAGCCTGGCCTTTGCCACCCTGCTCTGGGCCTTGGCTCAGCCTGTCCCCCCATGCCCTTGCACTAAAGACCTGCATCTGGCCCGCCTCCGCCCATCCATCCCACACGACTTGGCAGGACAGCCCTGGGCTCTTCTCCAGCCAAGTGGTTCTGTAGGGGAAAGGGAGACAACAGCTGTTCCTAGGCGGCTTCTCCCTGGCTTTTCTGCCGGAGCAGCGGAACCACACTGGCCACTTCCGTATGTGCTAAACTCACAGTACCGCCTGACAGCAGAGACACAGCACAGGACGGCCTGCAGTCCTGTGCCAGGCATGGTTAGAGGAGCAGCCGAGGGAGAGGCTGCTGAGGCCTTGGCTCCGGATGGGGCTCCTCCTTGACCTAGAAAAGTCAATCTTGGCTCAGAAACAGCTCTGCCTGAGGCTATCACCCCCACGGCCTAGCTGGGCTCTGAACCCACAGCCCACTGGGATCACTAGCTAGAGCCAGAAGGAGTCCTGGGATGCCCGTCCCCTGCCAGCTTCAGGTGAAGAGACCATGGTTTGAGATAGTCATGTGGCAGCTGGAGGTCTAAAGAAGAGGCCCGTGAGTTCTTCCAGGCATGCCTGATTGCAGCTGTGGGCCACAAGTGTCCCACCATAGCTATGAACGCAGGCCTACACATGACCACTTAGATCACCACTTAATGAAATAATGTCAAAGGCTGGGTACTCCTGCTAGCTCTAGTCCAATCTCCCTGCAGAGCCAGGGTCACAAGAGACAAGTGGGTACACATGTGCTAATGCCATGTCCTCTAGTCTAGAGCCTTCTCTGCTGCCTCCAACTCACAAGCCCCCTCTCACCATCTCTAGGTACCACTGAGCTGCCCAGTATCCTAAGTGTTGGCAACAGAAACTCACAGAGCAGACCACGCCTCTGTGTCCATTCCCTGGAATGGAGGAGGGTCGGACCATGGCACGGGCAGACTGGAAAGCCTCGGACTGGGACTTTTAGATGCTAAGACTACTCCTAGCGATCTCCAAGAGGCGAGGCTGAGCAGCAGATGGGGCTCTGCTTGCGGGAGCCCAGGCCCAGTCATGAAGGCAGCTGTTCTCTAAGTACCTCGCTCGCTCACCCTTCTCTGTCTCTCCCCACTCCCTGCCCCTGTCCCCTTGTGGTGAGCAGTAGGGACCCACAGCAGTCATTTACAGCTGGGAGCCGGGGCACAGACAGCTGCTCTCACCGAGGCCATCCCCCTGGTGATGATGTGAACCACCATCTCCAGATTGGGGACCAGACAGGGACAGGGACCTCTGTCCCTGCCAGGGTCAGTGGAACCCTAGTCCATAGCCCTGGAGAGGGGTTGACAGGATTAGGAACATACCAGCCAGCTTCTATCTAGCCCAGCTGCTTAAAGTGTACAGATTGATTGCTAAGAAAACATCCAACCATGATGAAACAACATGTTCGAGTCCCTGTATAGCCCAGAAACTCGGGACTCCTACACATTGTCCAGAGTGAGCACTAACTGGAGCACCTTCCTAGGCACCAACTAAGCATCATGTAGCCTGGCTTTACAGAGCTTTGGGTCATAAGTTCCACTCCTAGGAAATAACCTCACAGAGAACCTGCCTACAGCAGTGAATGTCACTAATAGCACAAGACTAAAACGATGTCCATGTCTGTGAGCAGGGATCTGGTGAACTAAGATAAGGAATGCCATGGAGAGGAGCACTCAGCAACTGTTAAGACATGTGTAAGGGAGCAAGACATGGGATACTATAGGAAAAGCCTGCTACCAGGCTGGGGAGATGGCTGGTGATGAGGACCTGAGTCCAGATCCCCGGAACCCACGTAAAAGCCAGTTATGGCGGCTCCCTCCCCTGTAATCCCACTTTTAGGGGTGGAGGGTGGAGACTAGAGAATCCCCGGGCAGGGGGGCTCACTGGCCAGTCAGTCTAGCTGAAATGGTGAGCTCCGGATTCAGTGAGAAACCCTGCTTCAAAAAATAAGGTGGAGCCCAACCACAGAAGCTCCCTCCTCCAGGAAGGCAGCTGGAGGTGAGAAGCCGTAGAAAGGAGAGTGATTTTAGAGGGCTTCAAGTCTTACTGTGTCCGGATGGCCATTGCATTATCCGTGTGTGTGTGTGTGTGTGTGTGTGTGTGTGTGTGTGTGTGTGTGTGTGTGTGTATGTGTGTGTGTGGAGGTTGACTCCAGGGCTTCAGCCATCATAGACAAGCATTCGACCCTGAGGACATATTCCCTCAGCCCTTTTTGTACTTTTTAAACTTTGAGATAGAGTTTCTTAGGTGAACCCTGGATTCACTTTGCAGCCCAGGCAATTTTTGAAGTTGTAAATTTCTGCCTCAGCCCCTTGTAGGTAAAGTTATAGGCCTGCCTCACCACGCCTGGGTTTTTAATTTATATTTTATTTTAATAAATTTATTTATTTTTATTTATTTATTTTTATTTATTTATTTACTTATTTATTTTGGTTTTTTTGAGACAGGGTTTCTCTGTGTAGCTTTGTGCCTGTCCTGGATCTCGCTCTGTAGACCAGGCTGGCCTTGAACTCACAAAGATCCACCTGCCTCTGCCTCCCGAGTGCTGGGATTAAAGGCGTGCACCACCACCGCCCGGCTGTTTATTTATTTTAAAGATAGGGTCTCTGGCCCAAGCTAGCCTTGAACCCATGAAGCAGCTGAGGATGACTTTCAACTCCTTATCCTCCCGTCTCCACCTCCAAGTACTAGGATTACAGGTGCACCACAACATCTGGATTATGCAGCGCTGAGAACTGAACCCAGGGTTTTGTGCATGCTAAGACAGCACTCTATAGAGCTACACGCCAGCCCAGCCCCTGGACTCTATTTTTTAAAAATTAGCTTTATTTATTCTGTGAGAATTTCCTACACCTATAATGGATTTTGACCGTATCCTATGCCCTCCTCCAGCTCCCTTGGGTGCTCTCTTCTTCTTCCCAACTTCATCTGCCCCCCTCCCTGCTCTTCATCTTCCTTCCCCTCTAACCCAGAATCCACTTGGTGCTGTTTGCATGTGCATGGGGGGGGGGGTCATCTGCCGGAGCACGGGCCACACCGAAGAAAAATGACCCTCCTTTCCCCAGCAGGCATCAAGTGCCAATGAATGGCACCTCAGCCAGGGGTGGGGCCTGGTGAGCCCCTCCCCATCCTTGGCAACTGTATTTTCAGTGACCGTCAGGAGCCCTGGGTTCCAGTGGCAGGTCTGGACAGAACTCAAGCCTGTATCCTCCCTGTTAACCTTTTGTGTGCACCTGTGTCCCCCCACCCCACCCCCGGAACCCCGAGAGGAAGGGCAACGTGGTGCATAAGAGGAACAGGGCAGGGAGGAGGCCAAGGTGAATGATTTACAGATCTCTGGGACACGGGGGTTAAGAGGGAAATCCAGCCTCCGGGAACAGGTGTCTGATGAGGGGCCGGCCACTCCCAGACACAGAATGAGTAATT